AAATCAAATAAATGCCTTGTTAAGCATAATATTCTTTCAAATACATAAAAAAAAATCTTCTCACCCCCCAAAATTCTGAACTTTTGATTTAGTTCATAAATACAGGTCATTTCAGAAAACCTTATGAATTTAGATGTGGCATCATAATTGTGATTGTGTCCAAACACGTTGCTATTATCTATAACCTGTGATTGAAAATATTTTTTTTTACAGAATCTGCATGATTTTGTCGCACTGTGCGCATCAAGGTCATGAGTGAGTTTAGGGCTGTTAAGACACGTCTGCCATGTAATGAACATCTCCATGGAAACTGAATTAATCTGCAAAATGGTTTATGATCTCCTCATAATTTTCACAGGTTAATGAATTCAGTATCAAAATTGATCTAGACTGTAACACAACAGATGACCATCAACAATCATACCAAGAGTTTCTTGTCCAGGTTGGCTTTTCTAAGGGCAGATGTCACTGCATTGGCATCCTTCTCTGCTATCCAAGCTTTAAACATCTTCACCGCAAAAGAAGCTGATATTCCTACAAAGCAGATAGTGGGAAAAAAGCACACACTCTAATGAATTTTTATTCATTTGTTTTTTCCCCCTATTCTCTTCAAAAAGAAGACATAAGGCACAAACCTTCTTTGACAAGGTTATCGCTGAAGAGGCTGGTGAGGATAGGTGGCAGCAGTGTGCCGTTGGCCAACAGGATGCCTGTTAGCATGGCTAGTTTGGTCTGCTCAGACTCAGTGAAGGCCTTCAGGAAGAGAAGAAGCTGCGGGAAGAAGACATATGGATCAGAACATACAGTATATCAACCTATGTGGAAACCCTTCCACAGTAAAACACGTTACTGATAATAGCAGGAATAGCAGCATCGTGATATGCACATTAGTTACCTTTTTGATTTCCTCCTCAAAGGCCTTCTCCAGATATTTGTACCTTCTGATAAGTTTATTGAACACCTGTATATAGACATAATCATCGATGAGTTACAGCATCAAGGTGTTTTTAAAGGGGTCATATGATAAATGTTTGTATGATATGACAACAACAACAACAATAATAATAATAATAATAATAATAA